CCCCAAAACCCCAAAACCCCAAAACCCCAAAACCCCAAAACCCCAAAACCCCAAAACCCCTTCATAGTTTGGCCAATTGAGTTTAAAATATTAATTTATCTGAGTTGGAAAATATGTTCTCAAAATCTAAGAAGGCTGATGTAGATAAAGAAGAAACTACAGGTAATCCTAAACTTATATATTTCAAAACCAAAACCCTTTGAATTCTAAGACTTGCCAGTAGCCCTCTCTTGTCCTAATTTCATCGCACAAAAAGCTAAATGACAGAATCATTCAAAGATTCTTCAAATTTGCTATCCAAATCATTTATCTTCCAAACCTCACCTAAATTCCTCTAGATTACAAGGATGAGTACACAAGGATCTCTAAAAGCACTCTTGTGCAAGAGGCCAGGACAATCTTCAACGAAGCAAAGATCAAGCCAAAGAAATGTATTGAAGTTCTTAACAAGATAATTTACTTGCTGAATCAGGTACTCCTTCTAGCTCATTTTTAATAGGGAGAGAAGTTCACTGATAATGAAAAGACAAACCTCTTCTTTGGGGTAACAAAGCTGTTCCTTCACGATGACTCCACTCTCAGAAGACTTATCTACGTGTTCATCAAGGAGCTCAGGGCTAATGAAGATGAAGTCTTTATCGCTACTAGCTGCTTGTCCAAGGATATGATGGGTGAGAACGATATGTACAAAGCCAATGCCCTCAGAGTTCTTACCAAGATCGTTGATAAAAGTAGCCTCCTCAGTATTGAGAAACAGATCAAGACTTCCATGGTGGACAGAAGCACTCATGTCAAAAGTTCATCCCTCGTCTGTTCAATTCATTTGCTTTCGAAGTATCCGGAGATGATCAAGAAGATGGTGGGAGATATACAGAACAATCTCTTGTCTGGAAACAAGGAGCTACAATACCACGCCTTGCTCTTACTTCATGAAATCAGGAAGGTTGATCCCATGGCTATCCTGAAGATCCTAAGCCAACTGACTAGCTCTCAGTCAGCCTTGCCTTCAAAGTTGGCTAAAGTTCAACTGATTAGGTATATCAAGGAAATCCTACTTCATGCAAACCTAGATGCTAGAACTAAAGGCGGATTTATCGAGTACCTTAATGAGTGCCTCTCACGCAACCCAGAAATGGTATCTTTCGAAGCAGCCAAAAGTCTTGTCGAGCTCAGTGAGAAAATGAACATTGATATTGATCAAGCCTTCAAATCCATCCTTGACTCTCTATGCAGTGGGGAGAATGTCTTAAAATACGCTGCCTTAAAAGTAATGAACAGGCTTGCAAACACTAATCCAAAGGAAGTCTCACTAGCAAGTACTGAGCTAGAGCCTCTGATCAACGACCAGAACACCAGCATCGCCTCAATGGCAATCTCTACCCTGCTAAAGGTCTGCACTGAAGTATACGTGCAAAAACTTCTTGCTCAAATTTCTCACTATTTGCCAGAACTAGGAGATGATTTCAAAATTGAGGTGATCCACAGTGTCTATCTTCTGTTCCTCAGAGTTCCAAAGAAATCCACAGAACAAATCAACTTCCTTCTCAAGTGCCTCACCGGAGAAGGTACAGAGACCTATAAAGAGAGTATTGTAGAGACCCTCATGAAGATTGGAATTGAAGGAACCACAGCTGATAAGGAGCAAGTGCTACTCACTCTTTGTGAATTCATTGAAGACTGTGAATTCAGACATCTCCAGACTCATATTTTTGATTTTATTGCGAAGGAATGTCCAAATACCTCAAATCCTTCAGTCTATATCAGGTTCATTTACAACAGAGTTGTGCTAGAGAAATCAATAATCAGAGCAGCAGCTGTGTCAGCACTTGGAACTATAGGCCATAAAATAGAATCACTCAGAAGCCAAATCGTAATTCTTCTCAAGAATTGCCTCAAAGACGAAAATGATGAAGTCAGAGAAAGAGCATTGTTTTACACAGACTTACTTGATTACCCCGAAGAAAATGAGGAATGCCATGAAGCTTCCAGCTTCGTCTTTGATTCACTCACCTTTGACGTAGATAAAATGGAGCAGTTTCTCCTAGAAAATAAGGACTCTCTCATTGCTGATGAAGATAATGAGGAGATTTTCAATTTTTCAACCTTCTGTACTGAAGAACAAGATAGTGTGATGACCAGAAACGTACAGAAAGAAGCAGAAGAGAAGAAAGACACCTACTCCACACCTGAACAGCACACCAAGCAAGAAGAAGCTATTGAGGATGATTCCTACGGGATTGACTTTAGTTCTCCTCCAGGGTTCGAACTTGAGCAATCAATCTGCACAAGACTTGGAATTGAAGCTCCTGAGTTCTCTACAACTACAAAAGACATAACAAGTCCTTCTGATGAATACTATGTTCAGTTGACCGGCCATTTCCATTGTAAAAAGTTGATCTTGCAGTTTAACGTTCAAAACAACATCGAAGAGCACAAGTTGAAGGACATTACAGTTCATTTGGAAAATCCAAAGGCAGGATATACCACAGTTGACCAGATCAGCTCTGAAGAGAGTCAGTACCCCACAATCGTTCTGATTTCTGAAGACCCTAGCAGGGTGTTCATCACAGAAACATTTAAATTCAAGCTTAAATTCACTGTGATAGAAGTCGATGAGGATGGCAATGAGGAAGGAGACTACGAAGACGAGTATAGTCTTGATAAAGTCTCCATTGCAGTCAGTGACTACATTGGCAAGCAGGCACTTGCTAATGGCCAATTCATGAATGCATGGGAAATGATCAAACAAAACGAAGCCTGTGCTGAAAGACTAGAGACCTTCCAGATCAGCTTCAAGACCCTTAAAGAAGCAGTGGCTGGAGTCATTGACTTCTTTGGAATGAGTGTCTGCGAAGGATCTGATAAAGTCGATGAAACCTCTAAATCTCACAACCTCTTCTTAGCTGGTACATTCTTTGGAATGTATCCTGTCTTAGTCAGAGGACAAATTGGGTTCAACTCACAATATGGATGTGTCCTCAGAGTAGGAGTCAGATCAATGAATGACAATGCTATTCAGACAGTCCTTGAGTGCATTCAATAAGCTCAAATATATTCAATTGCTACAAAATTCTTAGGGGTTTTGGGGTTTTGGGGTTTTGGGGTTTTGGGGTTTTGGGGTTTTGGGGTTTTGGGG